TCACTGCAGCGATTCGTCACCGGCGCTTCATCAGTGGGCGCCTGCTGAGAGGCGCCGATGCCGCCGGGTCGGTGCAGTGTCCGCCGGTTTTCGGGGAGAGAGGGGCATTGTAAGAGTGCAGTTAGCATTGTACACAGAGAACCCAGACAGCGCAGAGACGTGGCGCAGGCAGCAGCCAAGAGAGGGAGGGCGGCAGACAATGACACTTCACAGGCAGGCCGCGCTCTGTGCCGACTGCAGGTTTGCTTTGTTATACCGGCGTCTAAAAGCGTCGCAGGTAGCTTCACTGTGTGTACGCCTATCCCTTGCTCCGGGAGTCATGCGGCCAAACATTGGCTCAGGCATTGACGTCGTTTAGACGTGCGCCTTCATCTGTTCTGATGTTTATTTGCCGGCTTTTATCCGCCTCATGGTGTGTTTAGTTGTAACAGGGCTACTGTTCGTCACATGAAGGTAGGACCCCAAAAGCATAGCGAACTGTTAAAACGTGGACATCGAGCGACGAATGATGCTCACCCGTCACTGCTGACGTAAACTGGTTAGCACAAGTACCGCACAAATGGTTGCACTTAGCATAATCCCTTTGAAGCTTTTCCAGTTCAGACCACTCGGGATATATTTGTTTTAGAGCTTTGTCTCGTTCAGCCTTCACCGACTGCATTGTTCGAAAGCTTAATTTCTATAAAAAAGCATCTGCTTTCCAAGTTACATAAAGCCAAGCGTGAAATCAGATAGTCGTAAAATCGCATTGCTTTTAGCTTGTTTTAGTTAATTCAATGATCTACTATATCAAACTGCACAGCATAGTTGAATGGTGATTCATATGTGTGATTTTGGTGATGGGAAAACGTTGTTTCACATTTACCGTTGAAAGACTTAAGTATATTTCATTACCAGGTTACAAAAGATCTGAAATCCAGGGTTTTGTAAATCATGGTAAATGCATCACGCCCGTGGATCGTGCATTTGAACTAATGAGATGCATATGGCATAACTTTAACTATGCCGTCCACGTGCACATCGCAGAGCTATGCAATTGCACGCGCCGCTGAAAAGGGCCTAAATTGCTGCGCCTCGCGCTGAGTTCTGCCGACCACCTCTGTGCAGTGAACTAATCTAGCGCAGCATTGTTTGACGGCCTCCGAGACTGGCGGGGGCAGTGCCGGTAAACAAGAGACGGTATGGGACTGCAGCGGCAGCCACCAGGGGCCTCCGCCGCGCCCCGGCTAATACAGAGAGCTGCTGCCGCCGGCTCCGGGACCCCGACCGGCCCCTCGCGCTCGTGCCGAGAAAAAAAAATGACGACTCGGATGCGGCTGGACGCTGACGTCTAAAGCTGTCGTCCCACGACAATGGAGACGTCCGAGGAAAAGGCCGGCGCGATGCTATCTCTAGTTATGAGATTTTCTGGAAGGCGACGCTAGCGCTGAATAAATGGGGCTGTTATCTAGGCTGTGAGTGTCGCCATAACGCGCCACTGCGCGTCGCCGTGCGTCACAAACAACACGCTAATTAGATAACAATGATTCTAGGCGTCGAGAACCAAGCCAGAACGACGGAGGGACACCAAACGAGATAGTTTAGCTGGACACAATTAGGCTTTGTTGTATGAATAATTATTACTGAGCGTGAGCATTGCTGAGCGTGATTATGTGTACTGTGAAGTGAAATCTAACGATAAACTATATCAATGTCAGATAGAAGAATCGCAGTTATTGAAAAGCCGAAACTTCATCTTCATTGAGAATATTAAGAAAAGAACGGCTACCTGACCCTCATGAGAGGCTGTAAGTCTATCATTTTTGCTGGCCAACACACATGTTGGAAAAAGGTTGTAACCGCTTCATACTTTAAGCCTCAGACCCACATGGAGTCGAAGCTACTAATAAAAATGTACCCAAGCGCGAAAAGTCATCTGGTGCTGCACAGCATACGTCGCCTGAAAAGCCGACCAGTTTTATTATTTGAATACAAAATAAGCAAAGGAAGTGAACAAACTATGTAACAGCCAAAAGGTTTGATAATGATAATGTATCTAAAGTGTAGTAACTACAAACGATATATGCGGATCCCGGATCACATTGTATGATCTGCAATAGGGTGTGTCATTTTGGGCACTTTTTTCGCAAAACATGGTGCTCCACTGATTTTATCGTGCCCCAGACACGTAGAAACCGTGTGACATTTTTTATTTCCCCCAAATATTAACACCCATGCGGCGCCGACCGCCGACACTTTGGCCTATCTCTCAGCATTAGCGACCTCAGCGCCCCTAGCGGCAATGTTTTGAACTAACACGCTTGCTATGCTTTGTGAGCTTACGATCATCATTAAATGCATTTTACCGAAATGACGCCTTGCTGTTGGCTTGTCTGGCACTCAGAATGTTGGTGAAACTGTGATGTTATGCATCGTAAAGCACGAAATAGTTCTGTGTTAATGTATATGTATTGCATAGTACTACCCCCGATCCCCGTCCTGGTCTGACGGGATACGTACGAGCGCATGTTTATAGTGCCTGCTATTAGGTGTCACATGTTTTTTTTTGTAGCGTCGTTCACTGCATAGACCCCGGGGAACAGGGGGGGGGGCAGTGGGGGCGCTTACCCCCCCCCCCCCCCCCTTCAACTTAAGAGCCGAGTGGGCGCCGCCCCCTCAACATTGATGCAACGATGAAGGATCTCTGCTCCCTTTTATGGACCTACATGTCTGTTTTTATATAAACATCAGCACAAGGTATTTCTCTTGCATGTGAATGGTTTCTGCTGATTCGGCATCGATTTAAGAACACCTGCTATTGTCATCCCACTTTGATTTTATCTGAACTTGATCATAACTTTGGTAGGTCAGATTTTATACTGGACCATTTTGGTTCCGGATGGTATTTGATTTGGCGTGATGAGAACATTATGACGTACAACGGTGGTAAAGTCGTTGATTGATACAGGTTTACTCGCTCCGGTGGGAGGCAGTAGCGGCGGAACATCTTCAATTAAGTGGAGGGGGGGGGGGGACACTGCCGACTTTTGGTCCCATTCTTTCCATGCAACGTCCATAGGGCTAATGTTAAAATGCCCAAATCAGAGGGGGCACGGTGCCCCGGTGCCCTCCCCGTTCCGCCGCCTATGGTGGGAGGGCGGCGTGTGGGACTCAGAAGGAGACTAATGGATTGTGTTGTGCCTTTGGTAGGACCCTCAGTATCACCGATGCAGGGCCTTCAGAGCCTCCAAGGGGCCTTTAGAGGCACTGGTGTGGGGTCCTCACAGACGCCTGTGTGGCCCTTCAGAGGTGCTAGTGTGAATCCCTCATAAGCGCCGGTGAGGGTCCTCACAGAATACAGACACCGTTGTGGACCCTCAGAGACACTGGTGTGGGTCCGTTTACATGTGGGTGTGTGGCCCTTAGAGCTGCTGGTGCGAACCCTTTAAAAGTCGGCAGGGGGCCCTCAACGACCGGGGAGGGGGACCTCAGACCGGCAAGGGGCCCACAGAGGCCGGCGGCATTTTCAGAAGCCCTGTGGGGTCCTTAGATACCGACAAGGTACTCTGAGACGCCAGTGCGGCCCTCAGTCTCTGGTGTAGGGCCCTCAGAGTTGCAGGTAGGTGGTCGTCAGATATGCTTTTGCCGAACCCTCACCGGCGCAGGTGTGGGTACCTCAGAGCCACCAATATAGGGTTGCATAAATGGTGTGGCACTGGCTTGGGGGACCCTCAGTGGTGTCCTTATGGGCCCGTAGAAGCACTGGTGTGGGTCTCTCAGAGGTGCTGGTTGTGAAACCTCAGAGGCCCTGCTGAGGGCCCTCACGGTCTCCGTTATGGGATCCTCAGAAGCCGGCGTAGACCCTGACGGAGATCTTAGTGTGGCTACTTAGGGGCTCATGAGGTGCTCTTACGAGACCTGTGAGGTCTTTCTCAGCTGAAATATAGTCAGCGTGGACCCTCAGAGGTCAGTTGGTATCGCAGGGGTCTTTATGGCCGGGTGGGCTCTCAGAAGCACCAGTGAGGGCCCTCAGTCTCACAGTCGTCGTAATGGGGCCGTCAGAGACATTGGTGTGAGGCCATTACTGATTACAGGTTGGCGTAAGGCCCTAGATATGGCCCCTCTTGGGCCGGCAAGGACTCTCAGAGGCACGCTAGCGGCCATAAGAGGCCGGTAAAGGGCCCTCAGAGGCCGCCAGTAGCCTTCAGAAGCCGGCGTGTAACCCTCATGGACAATTTAGTGAGGCTTCTTTGGACTCACGAAGTGCTGTTACGAGCCCTATTCTTTCTTAATCGAAATATGGCCAGCATAGACCCTGAGAAGTAAACTGGTGGTGCCACAGAGCCCCTCCGACCCGAGGGGTCCTCTGAATGCGATAGGGGGGGACTAGATGGCACGTGCCTCCTGGGACCCCCTGACTACGCTACTATTTCATATGCGTCATGTCAGGTATTTTGGGCTTGCACCCCAACTTGAAGAATGTTCCTGGGCCCCTGTGACAATATATTGTATTCATTATAGGTATTCGTAATTAGCTTGCACTCTCTGCAATCTGCCCATACTATTATTTGTCCTTAGACCGCGCTTACAGAGAGCAGGGATAAGCCCATACAGTCAACGGCCTGTTAGTTTCGCAAACAGCCGCCAGGGGCGCTAGGGTCGCCTATGTTGTGAGATAGGGCAAACTTCTCTCGCTCGGCGCCGCCTGGGGGTTAAAATTTGCGGGAAATTAACAACGCCACGCCCTTTCCACATGAGTGGAGCACAATAAAATCGATGGAGCACCTTGCATTGCGATTAGTGACACACCCTAATCTGCAAGATGCCAGTCATTCCTTGACCAAGGCAGGCGCACCTCAAACCAGGCCGTATAACACCCCTCTCATCTCGGCTCCCCAGCCTCACACCACCGCTGCAATGGGAGCGTCCCGGACCTCTGGTAGGGCGTGTAACATACGGCCCCGCAGGTGTGGACCCGGACTGCCCTCTGACCTCACCCCCACCCTGACCCCGCCTCTGGGTCACTTCATGACCTTCGGGTACATACACATGCACCGCGATACTGTCCGCACCCCCAGAGCCAGGGTCACGGGGCGCAACACCGCCGTCTCCTGGGTCATCTCAGGCTGCACTGCGTCCATCTTCCAAGTGGCACAGTCCATTCGGCGGAGCAGCCGGCGGCCGTGTGTGGCCGTTCCAGCGGACGATATGGTCTCATCGGAACACTCTATGTCGGTGAAGGATCTCCAGAGTCCCCGGGGCGTGCCTCTGGACGAGGCGGGACTCGTTACGGAGAGCCGCGGGGCCTCGGGCGCCGTCCGTTCGGCCGAGTGAAAACGGTGCAGCCTCCGGCGCGTTGGCAGGTCACTGCTGAAGAGATATGGAGTTTGGGATGGCGTGGGATTGTGTCCATGTATAGAAACGGATGTGCCATTGCTGATAAGCCGTCTACGGTCTTCTGAAATGTTAATTAACTAGAACAGCAGATGGAAATACCTAAATATTGGAAAATCGAAAAATGACTGCATGCAACCGCCCAAACAAAGAGATCAACATACAGCCAAAGGTGGCCTTCGATTTTTCTTCGAAGATGTTAAACTAAAAAAATACGAATGCCGCCGTCAGCTCTTTCAGCCGGAGTATCCGAGGAGAACAGCTCGAACTTAACGACACCGCAGTGCTAGGACAGCTAATTAAACTTCACTGACCAACGACTACCGACCCATTAGGCTTAGTAACATCTGTCCAGTGTCCAATTCCAGGAGCAAGCAGGAGCAAGCTCTGATCACATTAGTCCTAACGGAAAACCCTAAATGAATACTGCAGAATGATTCCATGAAGGACGTCGCGTTAAGTTGCCTATAATACTATACGTGCTCAGTTTTAACCCGTACACGTATCTATTTGATGCAAACGTCAGTGAGTCTTTGAATGTCACGCTCCTTGACAGTCATTCTTCAACAACCGGCTTGTCGAAAATCAATGGAAAAATTGTGTTATTGAACCCAGCCTGGTTAAAGCCACAAATAAAAATAATCACCATCGTGCGAATTGAGTTTCCTACCAGAATTGGAAAGGTACCCAAGGGAGACGTTTAAAATCGAAATGCGTTCCTACGCAGCATCCATCCATCGCCTTACCTTAGACTGCATCGCTCCTCTGTGGCGTATATATCATCGGTGAGGAGTGATATATGTAAATCCTCGTAAGCCATGCGTCACCATTCCAGCACGGGCACACACTTTAACAGGCAGTCACTATTTTATCATGTTCAATCTCGCTAACAGACACAAAGCGTCTCTCCCGTAAGTTTCGACATTTCACCTTCAGCCCGTCGGCGTCATTACGTGTCTCTCGGAGCGATGTGCGGTGAATCGCGTCATCCACTGCTGACGTCGTCATCACAGAACAGAGTCCGCCGATTTTGTGCCGCCCACCCAGGCTACGTCAGCATTGTGGTGCCGATTCCCCCGTGTGATCGGTCCTCCTTGGCTAGCCGGCCAATGAAGTGAATAATGAGGCAGCGGGGCTCACCGCACTGTCCACGGAATATGCCCGGCTCGGTAGCGGAGTTTGATGGCCTGTCATCAGGATCGTGCTAACGAATGACTTGGCATTGGTGGGGTATCCCTGTTTGATGAAATTCCTCAGAGGATTGCACATAGGGCTGTAAGCATGGGACTGCCCAATTTGCGCAGCTTGCCCAATTTGCGCAGCTTGCCCAGTTTGCGCAACTGTCATTCGTAGTTCAGCGCGTCAAAGAATAACGTAGTCCGACTGTCAATTGCAGGGGATGATAGGTTTCTTCCCCAGATAAGAGTATCATTCTTATGATCGTAGTTCGTACCGTCATCAATTGGACTCGGTGCAAATACCTACCAGTATTGACACTCTGGCAATATGCGTTGGTTACTTGGCATTGTACGATGCAAATTATCATTCTCTCCCAAAGACACTGGAAACCAAATGCCCCACTTCAATGTGCTAATATCAGCATGCTCACTCCAACATGGCGGTAGTCGCCAAATTTTCCAGGAGAAAAGGAAAAAAACTTGAAGAAAAAGAAAGGCACGCCAAACCTCAACCTTTGAAACCTTTGAAAGTGTTGTTGTTGTTTTCCCCGGAGTCCACCGGTGGTACATATATTTAATCATCAACGAAAGAAGCATTTGAGATTAGCATCGGGAGATTGAGTGAAACGTGAATCAATAAATGGCGCTGCATAGGGCTAAAGGTGAGGATAGGATTTGTTTAACAGTTAGAATTGATTAGAAGAGTGCAGAAGATTAGTGGTTAGAAGGTTGGGAGGCAGCACCATTTATGATACGATCACAGAAACACAGGACTACAGAGGCCACCATCCATCTCGAACTGGGTTTGTCGCAGTTTTCCACCGCAGTCAAGGCTGGAAGGCCCGGGAAGGGCGGCGCACATCAACAAAGCGACGAGAGCGACATCTATAGGCTGGTGTCAGTCAACCGCAGAGCGTGAGGGAGGGTTACACGTGTGCAGAATCAGCACTACCTGTCAGGCCAATTCGCACACAGAGTAGCGCAGCCGCGGGACCGCTCCATCAGCGATAACAACGCCACCTACAAAATCCGGAGTCACATGTTGGACCAGCTCGCAGACTGAGCGCCAGGTCGCGAGCAGGTGTTCATGGTATCAGCAAAAATGGCAAACGTAATCTCATTTGTATTTTGTAACGAATCCAGAATATCTGTAATAAAGATTTCATTAAACATGAACATAAAGCAAATTAACTCTAAAACTCCAGAAAAAAAGGTTCTTTTCCACATGGTTAGTCCGGCTCCCTTGATTTTCTTCTCCCGCCAACAACAGACTCTCATTCCGCGCTACAATCGGGTCGACATGTGTGCCTCTTCTCGCTATTCGCCGACAAGGCGGTACCATTTATTTCCTCTGTCGGCCAATACTGACCGGGCGCTACGCCCATTTAGCGCTCAGAGAGCAAACACGGCCCGGCCGCGGGCGGCCATGTAGCGCAGGTCAGGGCGCCAGAGCCGCGTCCGTCACCCTCGAAATGGCCGCGCGAGCATTATCGAGCCGCCCGGCCGGCCCGGCAACAGGCAGCCAGGAGTCGCCGTAACAGGCAGCCAGGAGTCGCCGTCCACCAGCTGTGTCAAATGGGTGCCCGGCACGAGCACGCGGATAAAAAACTACAGCCGGTGGAGGGAGGGAAGCAGACACCCTAACACAAACAGGCAAAATATGGTGGAATTGTCCTACTCATAGAATACAGATCGGCTGCCTGCAGTGGAATGTTGCGAATGCGTTGTGAAATATGATAATCAGAACGACAATGCTAAATATAAATTCGCCTGAAGATAAAGAAGAAACAGCGAGACGGCGCTCGATAGCTTCAAGTATACCTTGATGTGGCGTAGTTTTTTTTTTTTTTTGAACAACTACGTTTTGAACCCTTCCTTCTGCATCGACGATCCCTTTGAAGCAAACAAATTGTAAGAAAATAAATTGTAAGTACATAGTCAGTGATGCGCTGCGTAGCTGAAGCTGTATTTCGGCGAGGTTGAGCTCTGCGCAATGTGAGGTGTAGTGTGGTCCCCGGAGTGTGGTCACTGGGTTGTGGTCCAGCTGGAATATGGTTTATAGTGTGCCATCCCTGGACTATCGTGACTGGAGTGCGGTCTGGAGTGTGATGTGGAGTGTAATCCCTGGATAAAAAAGACTTGGCTCGCCCCATAAACATACTTGCATATATTTCAGAAATGTTTTTATTATTTCTCAGCAGATTAGCAGATTCAATAATGGTTAGATAAACTCAGCCTTTTTCCGGACAGTTTCGTGACTTGTATTGTCACTGCGTCGACGGTTATACGAGCTTGCGTTGCACACTCAGTGTGCAACGCAAGCTCGTATAACCGCCGACGCAGTGACAATACAAGTCACGAAACTGTCCGGAAAAAGGCTGAGTTTATTTTTCAGAAATGTGATATATGAGCCCGAAACAAACAGAACTAACATATAGAGTTGGCTGTTTCTCAGCCAGTACCACCTCAGCACACCATCCGTAGTATCAAAGAGACACCCGATGCCGTCCTTTCATTACCACTCTGATTGCGATCACGACACCTAATAGCGCCGTCATCGCTCCTAGCCCGGCGGTCATCGCCGCAAACCCATACCGGTCAATGATCGCTCCACCCAACACAGGACCCACTGCGTACCCTAGGGAAAAGACGACGTGGAACAGGCTCGAAACAAACGCCCTGGTGGCCAGGCTGTCGTCGAGGCCACTGGCCACGCTCGCGTCCAGCATCGTGCTGTAGCAGGGAGTGAAGGCGCCAGCCAGGAACATTAGCTCAACGACCATCCCTGCTCCCGTGATTAGCCAGTGTGGTGGAATGGGAAATGCTGGGGCAATGAAGAGGATCCCAATGCTAGAGGCTACCAGACAGACGGCCATCTGAGGAAGCGGACTGGGACGTGCCTCGGATAGTCGCGCCCAAGATGAGTTGACCAATACGTACATTGTGGACGAGACGAGAAAGAAGAGACCGACCAGAGTCGGCGGCACACCAAGCACCCGGTCAGCGTACACCGCCAACGTTGCCTCGACCGTGTTAATGACAGCAGAAAAGACGAAAACAGTAGCCAGACACAGCCAGTTGTCGACCGCGCCGAGAAACTTTAGCAACGACGTGGCAAACGGCGCCTGCTGGCAGTGGGTGCTCTCAATGTCGGGTATCAGGCGAATTAGGGCCGCTGAGGTCAGCAGCATCAGCGCTCCGAGTGTGAAGAAGGGCGTGCCGAAGCCGCCGACTGCGTACAGGCCGCCCCAGAGGGCCGGTGTCAGCGCCACTCCAAGCGTAAGCGAGGAGCCGATCACGGCAACCGCCGTGGTCACGCGGCTACCGAACTCGCTCCCGGCGATGGTGTAGCCGCACGTGGAGATGGCCGCCGAGCCAACCGCTTCCACGAGCCTCACCGCGAACGCAGCGCCCATGAAGGTCTGGGTGTCTTCGATCCGGTTCAGCAGCCCAAACAACAGCGTAGTCGCGCCCGCCAGCGCCAGACCGATGTTGTAAAGCCGACTGATACCAATCTTCGGAGCCAGCCGACCCACTAGCGGGCTCAGCATCATCTTTGCCACGGCGTAGCAGCTAAAAACGCCGCTGATGGCTTTTTGAGAAACGCCGCGAGAGGCCGCCTCCACCGGAAAGAACGGGATCATGATGGCGATCAGAGAGCCATCCATCACAGCGACCATGCTAATGCAAACCAGCAGCCTCCGCTGGTTGGAGGAGAAGCGGTCTTTGCGGGGTGGCTCTGGTTCTGGCCTCTTCTCTGGCCACTTGCCTTCCAATGTTGTGTCGTTGTGGATGCTCACGGACTGATAGTCGGGATGGTCACTTGGTTCTCTGACCGGGCCTCCGTTTTCGTGTAGCAGTGCCTGTGACTCCATTTGTTGCGTGCTGACCATGGCGACCCACTGGGTGAACTGATGGAATAAAATTGAAAGCGTTTTTGGCGGTTAGCTATCTGCGACAGGTGGGGCCGGACCCAATTTAGCTGCACAGCTGTGGTCAGCAGTGCACTTGGCCAGCCACCGTATTGTGAGGAATTCTATTGTTTCGGTAGAATAGCTTAGCTTTTTTATTCACAAACTCCTCCCTGACTGTAGCAATCGATAACGGGACCTGGCAACCACCACGCCACCACCACTAGCGGCTCGCGCGCTTCTTCACTCTCGAGTTCCAGCAAACTGATCTGATTCTTTCCTCTGTGGCCTTTCTCCCTACCGCTGAACATTAATCCTCGACGCTCGCCGGGAGGGGGTCGGATCCAATCCCCTTCTGTTATCTCGAGAATTAATGGTCATATCAAACCCCGAGACGAAGCATTTGAAATCTCCTCATGAAAACGTTTTTTGAATGAAAATATTTCGCTTTATCGATATTTTGTCTGTTCGATATTCTGAATTCGATACCTTGTCCTTTCGATATTATGCTTTCGATATTTCGTCTTTTCGATATTCTGCTGTCGATATTTTGTCTTTTCGATATTATGCATTCGATATCATGCCTTTCGATATTCTGCTTTCGATATTTTGCTATTTCGATATTTTGCTATTCGATATTTTGCTATTTCGATATTTTGCTATTTCGATATTATGCGACTCGATATTTTGCGATTTCGATATTTTGAGGTTTCGATATTTTGCGACTTCGATATTTTGTTTTCGATAATTTGCGTTCGATATTTTGCGATTCGATATTTTGCGTTTCGATATTTTGTCATGGAATCGTCTGAACACACCCCCCCCCCACTCTAACTCGGATCCTGGGCCACGTAACGACACACGGTAAGCGGCATTCGAAAGAACATAAAAAATAATGACGGAAACACTTCGGTCATTTTTGGGTCAGCTCAAAGGTCAGGTCGCCAAAGGTCATCAAAGGTCAAATGTAGTCCATTTCAACAATTTTGGAAACTGCCAACGGCTTACTCGGGAACCAATAGAGCTACAGCGCCACGGAAAAGCTCATTCGATAGCCCTTTTGCAGACCTTTCTGAGTGTTGCTCTAAGATTTGACCTCAGGTCAACGGTTAAGCCTCCAGAGGGCAAAAACTGTAAAAATAGCAGTTTTCACGAAAATGGTTTTTCGTCAATAACTTTTGACTCAAAAGAGCCACGACATTACTTTTGGCAGCATCGTGTTCCTCTCGTCGAGACGCATCGAATAAAGTATTTGTTGACCTTGAAAGATCATTTTGAAAATTTGACCTCAGGTCAAGGTGCAGACCTGCAGACCGGAATGGGTCATGTTGCATATCAGTCGATCCGTATTGTCGAGCTGAATACATCTGACGTGTTTTCATCACTCTACACCTTTTTTCGTCCGAATTCACAAAGATGAAGTCCAAATTCACCAAGCTGAATTCCAAATTCACAAAACTAAATTACGAATTCAAAAGTCAAAAGTCCAAATTCACAAACAAAAAGTTGGAATTCAAAAAGATAAGATCGAATTTCAAAAAGCAAAAATGTGATTTCAAATAAGTAACAAGCAATTTCACAAAACAAAAATGCAATTTCAAAAAGATAATGTTTGATTTCAAAAGATATTCTGAACTAACTACAGACAAAGCTGCTGCACCTGAATTTTATATTTTTACCAGTATAGCGCCTTATGGGGCGACTAACGGAGCGAGCGAGAGGGTGGGCATTGCACGTGCGAAATTGCGAGGGGGTACCTCCAACTGACTTGTGCGTGGCACCCTACTAACCGGTCTCTAGCGATGTGCCGAATTTGAGCACAATCGGCCCAGCCGTTCTCGAGATCTGGAAGCGGCACCCTGCACGTGCGCACGTGCAAAATGGGTCCCAACTGACTTGTGCACGGCACCCTACTAACTGCTCCGTAACCGTGTACCAAATTTGAGCGCAATCGGTCCAGCCGTTCCCGAGATCTGGAAACGACCCCTGCACGTGCGCACGTGCAGCAGCACCCCAACTCTGGCACATGTATATGCAGTGCCTAGTGGGTGCCTACCTACATGCCAACTTTCAGCGCAATCGGCCAAGTAGTTACCGAGATATTGCAACAATAACAAAACTGACACCTCTTCGTTTTGCACGTGGCACGTGCATAAGGGGTCACCCACATGCATCGGGAATAGTCCAATACTTGGTAGAAGGAATGAAGCTACCCTACAAAAATTACCGCGTGTAAATCGGTCAAGTGGTTGCTGAGATATAAGCCTCGCAAAAGCGTGACCACGGCCGGCCGGCCGGCCGGCCGCTCATACTCAGAAATTTCCGTTAATCTAAAGCCCCGGTCCCACTAGGCGATGCGACCACTTACGACCGCCCACGATCGGTGGTCGGCAAAAGGTTGTCGCAATTCTTCAAGAGCTCGTACGATTGGATGTTGATATGAACGACTTGTCTTCAGACGTCGCGAGGTCATTTTGGTCGCCAAGAGGTTTTTGATGATGCACTAAAAACCTCCTGGCGACCGATTTGGTCGCAAAGAGTTCGCGAGAAACCGCAACAAGTATTTCATTGTTCGCTAGTAGGACGGCGAGTATCGCACGACAGGTTTCGGTGGTCGCGGGCCTAGTCGGGAGCGGTCGGCGGTCGTATGCAAGTCGCCGATAATCGCACGACGTTCTTCCCAACATCAGCAACCAGTTGCGAGACCACCAAGGTTCGATCGCCGAGCAATCGCACGATGGTGGCCGATTGCACGGCACTAGTCGGAAATTAGTCGACGACAGTGGTACGGACATCTCAGATCTCATACCGACCCTTATCACACGGCCGCGAACATATGTAGTGCTCTCACTTTGAGAGCAGCCGTAGACGATGAAGGGGATGCGTAAAAAAATCGTCCATTTTCAGTAGATTTTCAAATAAAAACAGCGCAATAAGAAATAAGAAATGATGCACCGCCTACTATATAGTGCCTCTCACGAGTCGGAGGTGGGATCCGACCCAAAAATACCGACCATTCCAGGCGGCCCAGCTCCAGAACATGAGGGACACGACACGGAACGTGACCGAGAAAAAGAAAATTGCTGAACACTTGACTCTGGAAAAGAACGAGATCTTAACCATAGCCCGTCGCCGGACATATTGGTTTTCTTCTACGCGCCGGCGAAGGGGGGGGGCGGGTATGACCCCCCTCCCCGTTTCGCCTCTGATGGAGCTAGCGCGCCTCAGGAAAAACAAGCGTGTGCGCCGTTACGAGATACAGTTATTGACACCCGATTATAAGGTCTTAGGTCAACCGGTGACATCTTACGTCAGGTCAAGTGCCAAAGTTATGGGTTCAGTTTTTGATAAATAACTTGGCTAAAAGAGACCGCCCACCGTTCCATGCTTCTATCCTCAGGATACGGAAATCCTTCTCCACGCCGCAACCCCCCTCCGGGCTGGACAGGCAACTTTATCTCATGCGGGCTGCTCCCTGGGAGCGGCACCGCTGCTCCCGAGGGAGCGCACCTCGTAGCCGGGTGCAGTGAGTGCCTTGGGGCTGGGTGGCCTGTCCTCTGGACGGGCTCAGCCCCGGCGACTCACTAAGGTGCCTGCCCAGACCAATGTCTCCCCCTACATCCTATCATCCTCCCGGCTCTGAAATGGTCTCATTGGACCGAAAGGGCCTAACCCAACAAAACAAAACAAAACAATCAAGAGGCCGCAAAGCCGCGATTTTGACATCATCGTGTTCGCCTTGTTGAGACTTGTCGAATGATATACTTTTTGTTGGGGTTGAACTCAGGTCACGGTCAGGCCAGGGCTTACAGGTCACGAAGTTTGTCGAATGAGGTCATGTCGCATATCTTTTAATTTGGCAGGTCTTTTAAGTCCATTGGTGGCTCTCCCGACTCGCTAGTTCAATTGGATCGGGAGTTATTGACGAAAAACTAATATGGCCCTAGTGACGTCATTAACAATGCAAAAGTGACGCATCAAACTTGCAAAGAGTGCATGAAATCACGATTCGATATGCTTGGGGTTGGGATAGCTTAAGATCTTTCCCAGCGTCAAAATAGCAGTTTTTATTTTCCCCCATTGACTTGAAATGGTGAGGTCACGTAACCGACCTTTCGTCATGTGACCTTTAGGAAAAATCTGAGATGTACAAGTTGTGAGACCTCTACTACGTCCTGTAAGCTTAATCTCCTTGTGAAAGCTCCTCTGGCACTGAGAGCGTTGCGAAGTTGCGACCTCTGAAGATCGTGCAGAGGTTCACTTCTGACGCCATAGGTCAATGACCTGACCTGACCCGAAAATGCGGCTGGTGTCAAAATGCCTATAACCTGCCGATTTTCAAAATTCGAATGGCATTCGATTCCCTCAACGTGATCTACATTTTGAAGAATGGAAGTCCAAAAAACGCAAAAAGGTAGGAGGGGGATAGAAACTACACATTTCAGATGCTTTTTCAACTCCTCACCATGGCCATGTTTTTCAACCAATTTTGACGCAACTACTGCCGATCGATGCAGGATGAATCAGAATTTGACATGTATTACAAAAATAAGCATTTCGAAAATTAATAGCCGGATTCCTACAGGTTATGAAATTTGGAGGCACATTAAATACATAATCAATCGGATGTTTTGTTGGTGCTGCCACCAAAACGGGCTGGCAAATTAAAGGAAATAGGTCACTTTCACGAAATTATTTTTTTTGCAACGGATTTATGATTTTTTATGTTCAAAATGATCAGCAAAGAAAATAAAACCTTTTTATAACAAAAGATTATTTTCTATATTTTGATATAGGAAGAACTTTTCAGTTTCTGTAAGGCACACGCGATCCAGTATGAAAAGAGCATGGGTCCCGAAAATTATTCAGAAACTAGAAATTATCGCAGCCACCGGCATTTGGGCGATCTGCTCGATCTGATAATGTTCCCCTGAATGTCCTAATTGATCAGTACGAGAATTTCTCTAGAGTTCTCGTAGATAATTTCTCTAGTTTCTGAA